AGTTTGGATCATTTTATGGAAAACGGTGAATAAGTGGCTTGTTTCAGATTTTTCTTTCATAAGGAATGTCCAACTCAAACGTGTGTGATCATCAACAAAGAGAAGAAACCAACGTGCCCYATTGATATTTTTTACCCTTGAAGGTCCCCAAATATCTCCATGGATAAGGGAGAAAGRCTGAGATGGAAGATAAATGTGAGGTRAATAACAAGCACGAGTATGTTTGGAGAGTTGACAAATCTCACACTTGAAAAATTGACTCTTTTTATTGAGAAATAAAGAAGGAAACAATYGTTCAAGATAAACAAAGTTGGGATGACCAAAACGATAGTGCAACATCATGACAAGATTATCTTTATGATTTAAGGACTCAGAAACATAAGCAGACTCACGATTAGACTGAACTACAAGTTCATTGCATTTCTTTGTTGGTGGAGGACTCGTTGCTTTAAGAAGATACAATCCCGCACATAAGTCAGCATTGCCAATCATCAGCCCATGATATTTATGAAGGGATGTGGATAAAAAGGTTACTTGAAGAATTGAGAGTCTTTCAGAAGGCACCGATGCGAGTTTATTGCGATAACAAGGCTGCCATCTCCATATCCCACAATCCAGTTCAACATGATAGACTAAGCATATTGAAATTCACAAATATTTCATAAAGGAAAAAGTTGACACCGGTGTGATATGTATCCCTTATCTCCCAACAATAGAGCAGACTGCTAATGTGTTGACAAAGGGACTACCAAAAGTGCAATTTGACAGGATGATTGACAAGCTAGCAATGGAAGATATCGTTAAACCAGCTTGAGGGGGAGTGTTGATTTACTATTTGTGAATATTTGCTCTAAATTAGTCGTAAATGTTAATTGTTACTTATCGTTATTTCCTTTTATATTTTAAGTCTCTCTTCTAATATAAGAAGGTTATGTATTTCTTACTCGATCATATATTGGAATACAATTGTTTTTATTCCATCAAAACTAAGTATTCTAATTTCTTAGAAACTCGAAGGAGGAAGTAGAAATCTCTAAATTTGTCAACTCACCCAGTATCATGTCAAGTGTATCATAAACCAATTTTAACTTTGACCAATGGTATAATTAAAAAATATTAGAAAAAAATGAAAATATTTTCAAAGAAGGTCATTTGATGATTGGTTCGTAAGGTGGGGTTTTGCTAAAAGTCATGTTTTTATTTGGTGCTCACAGTCAATATTATTTCTAATTACCTTTTTCAATGTAATTAATTCTAGTTGGGAGGCCTCGAAATTTGTATGTTGTTTATGCCTATGATTTTGTTTTAGTTCGCTTGTGTAAAGGTAAGGGTATTTTGTTTATATCTTTACTTTATTTATCTTATACAGTGACTTTTCAAATATCAATTAGAATTCTGTTTTCTTAAATAAAAAAAAGGAAAGCTTGGTTTTTCTGTTAAAAATAATTGTCATTTAACCTTGTAATTGTAAAAATAACATAAATTTAGTGATAGGACGATCAAATTTATGAGGGCTGATTTGCTAGGGTTAACCACTTTCTGTAAAAAACTCAAACTTTTCATTTTGCAATGTAAGATGAATTTAGAAGTTTGAGGCTGGCCATATTTGATGTGCTTGCAATTTGTAAATTAAACCTTACAATAGTTGAAATCACAAAATTCAATGAGAGGACAATCAAGTTTGTGAAGAGTAATTTCCTAGGATTGATCTCCTTTTTAAATAACAACTCAATTTTCCTTTTGCAATGAGAGGTGAATCTAGAAGTTTGTGAACATAGTTATTTATTCAGTGTTTTATTTTGATGGGATCTTTACTCACTTTTCTTTCATATTGTTTATGTAGGGCCAAAAGTTAACAGAAGTGAACGATCTTTACTTGGTGGAGGTTATTCTCAAGACTTATTTTTTACAACTACACTATATGTTTCTGAAGTAATCTTTCTGTGTGGTCTTATTCTCTTTGTAGTCTCTTAAGCATGATCTGTAAATTATATTTGTTATCTTTAATTTCCTATTGTGTTTATTTTTTAATAGGTTACGGTTTCCTTGTTCTGATAGGAAAGTGTTTTCTTATCCTAATAGGCAAGGGTTTTGTTTCGTTCTTCTTCTTGGCAGCTGTAGTTAAGGGTTTTGTTTCGTTCTTCTTCTTGGCAGCTGTAGTTAAGGGTTTTGTTTCGTTCTTCTTCTTGGCAGCTGTAGTTGCTATTTATATCCTTTTGTATCAACTCTTTAAAATATAAGTAAGAATTATTTTCTTTTCCTATTAATTAATATGGTATCAGAGTTTAAAGACTTTTATGACTAACTTTCATAGCCAATCAATTTCTTGTTTCATAACCTTATTTTTATTTTTTTAAATTGGCCTTTATTGTTCGTAGTTCAGAGATAGCATCTTAGTGAACCTCCATCACTACTACTGAAGTTTTAGTTTGTGTCTTCATTCCATTCGTCCGTATCAGTACATGAAAAATTCTCAAGAAGAAAAGGAACTTCTTTTGAACCAACTCTCTGATTAATGAAGTTCTTTTTTTTTTCTGGGCATTGGTGACCTAAATCAACGGCTATTGAAACAAGTTCGTGACTGTTATCTGTTCTTGGACTTATTGTTCATTTGATTAGTCACCGCCTTCTCACGCCCATCGTTCAGATTGGCCACCATCGAGCTCGCGCCGTACCATCGAGTTCGTGGGTTCCCTGCTGTCGCGCCCATCGTTCGTGGGTTCTCTGTTGAAGCTGTCAAGACGAGTTTGTGGGTTCTGTTTCGCTGACACTGTTCAAGACTCCGACGACTCTTTCAGAAGTCGTCAATCCTTCACCACATCGCGATTCGCCGCCGATTGCTCCATCGTCGGGATTGCGTGACGCCTCCGCCGCAGCTGTCCGTGTTCAGTATTTTGGGTATGCGACGTGGTTTGCAGTTCAGAGCCCTAATTTTCGTGGATTTCAAACATAAGTGTTGGTCTGGTTTAGATCTGGTTCGGTTTGATTTGGTTCGCATTTTTTTGGGGTCAGTACAACTTGGTTTACTTCGGTCCAGTTCATCATCGGTTTCCGGTTTGGTTTAGAGTAATTCAATTTTGTTCATCCGGTTTATATTGGTTCAACCCGGTTAAGCTTTATTGCAGTTTGGTTCAGTTCATCCCGCCTCGGTTCAGACCAGTTTCAGTGCTGTCCTTTATTCTTTCCTTTGTTATTATGGGTCTTCATTTTTTTAAGTTGCAGTTTAGTTTCTTTATTCGCACAAATGTCGCAATCCACCAAAATTACCAAAAGATTGGACAAATATGAGATAAAAAACTAAGGAGCCTTTTAGAAACTTTGGATAATGCTCCTAGTCAAGGTATAGGTTCGGTAACTTTGACAGGTACAACTTCTCAACCTAAACATGGTACCTGGATTATTGATTCTGGTGCAACTGACCATATGACTAACAGTAGCTGTCATTGTATTTGTCCGAACAACAAGAAAATTTCTACAGCAGATGGTACCTTATTAATAGTGGCTAGTCAAGGGAACATCAAGATAAATTCAAATATTACATTAAAGAATGTGCTTCATATACCACATTTAACTGTTGTCTTGATCTCAGTAAAAAAATTGATCAAAGATCTAGGATGCAGAGTAACTTTTTCTAATTCTTCTTGTATTTTACAGGATCAGAACAAATGGAAAGACGATTGGACTTGCTAAAAGAAAATGGACTTTATTATCTTGAGGAACCTACTGGTCAGGATAGTGTTCCACTCTCTCACCTCACAAACTCATCATATTTCAAGTAAGCTTTGGTTGCACCATTATAGACTAGGACATCCCTCATTTAGAACCCTAGAACCCTTAAAATTATGTTTCCGGATTCGTTCCAAAATATTCATCCTGAGTCAATTCAACGCGATGTTTGTGAATTTGCTAAACACAAACAGGTCCCCTTTCTTAGTTGTTAGAGTATATATTAGTATATTTTATATTCTTGTATTAATATTAATTTGTCCTTTACCTTCTCCTTATAGGATTAGGTCAACCTTGTATATTTGTTTATATATATATACTTTAATAATGAGAATATATCACATTGGATTCTCTCCAACCTTAGTCTCTACATTAGTAATAATAAAAGAGCGTCAAAACCGTTCTCTCTTATTTATAGTGATGTTAGGGGCCCTTCTAATGTGCCAAACATTTCCAAGTTTCGTTGGTTTATTGTGTTCATTGATGACTGTACTCGAGTTTCATGGGTTTATCTTTCGAAACAAAAATCTAATGTTGGTTCTGTCATTCAAATATTCTTTAATATGATAAAAAATCAATTTGGAATCCAACTCAAACGGTTTCGTTCTGATAATGCTCGAGATTACTTTTTATCAAACCTTAACATCCTTCTTTCAGGAACATGGAATCATTCACGAGTCATCTTGTGTGGAAATACCCCAACAAAATGGGGTGGCAGAGAGAAAAATAGGTCACATTCTTTCCGTAACTCGTGCCCTTCTTTTTCAAAAAAATGTCCCTAAATCTTTATAGGGAGAAGTTGTGCTAAGAGTCACTTACTTAATCAATCGTTTACCCTTTGCTACTTTAGACCATAAAACTCCTATGAATATCCGATCAAAATTTTGTCCTGATTTTCGAACAACAAATATCTTGATTCCTCGAGTATTTGGTTGTGTAATCTTTGTCCATATTCATAGTCATCAACGAGGTAAACTTGATCCACAAGCCCTCAAATGTATTTTTGTTGGATACTCGAACACCCAAAAGAGATATACGTGTTATCATCCTCTTCTAAAAGGTACTTCATCTCTGTCGATGTTACCTTTTACGAAGACACCAGCTTCTTTACCTCACCTTATCTTCAGAGGGAGGAAATATTGTTGGAAGATAAGGATGATTTACCCATCCCTAACCTCACCTTTCCTTCACATCCTTTACCATCACCGATTCTAAACCCATCACAAGTATTAAACCCCATTGAAATTGACGCCAGTCAATCTTCCTCATCTTTACCACCCATAGACACCTCACCAGGGCCATATAATCCTTCTGCTACTATACCATTACACGTTTATTCAATAAGGAACACTGAGTATTTCCTTGGGATAGAAGTTGCATATTCTAAACAGGGCATATTTTTATCACAACAGAAGTATGTGATAGACCTGCTTTCAGAAAGAGGAAAGCTTGGTAGCAGACCAATGGGAACACTGATTGATCCAAACCATAAATTATGTGCAGCCGAAAAGAGTCCTCCAGTAAATAAAGAAACTTACCAGAGGTTAGTAGGAAAATTAATATATCTTTTGCATACAAGACCAGACATTGTGTATGCTGTAGGTGTGGTAAGTCAATTTATGCATAGTCCAAAAGAAGTTCACCTTCAAACACTATACCGGATACTTCACTATTTGAAGAATTCCATTGGGAAAGGATTATTGTTTAAAAAAGGCGAGAAACTTAATCTAGAAGTTTATATAGATACAGATTATGCAGGATCGATAGACGATAGGAAATCAACTTCTGGTTATTGTACATTTTTAGGTGGAAACTTAGTAACATGGAGAAGTAAAAAGCAAACGTAGTTGCAAGATCGAGTTCAGAAGCAGAATTTAGAGCAATGGCATTGGGTATCTGCGAATTACTTTGGATAAAGATTATTTTAGAAGATTTGAAAATTCCATGGAAAGGGCCAATGAAACTTTACTGTGATAATAAGTCTGCCATCAGTATTGCACATAATCCAGTTTAACATGATAGAACCAAGCATGTGGAGGTTGATAGTCTTCATATAAGAAAAGTTAGACAGTGGCCTCATATGTACTCCATTTGTGCCAACAAATGTTCAAATAGCAGACATCTTTACGAAAGGATTGAACAACAACTTTGAGCATTTGGTTAACAAGCTGGGAATGGAGAATATTCATTCACCAGCTTGAGAGGGAGTGTTAAATTATATTTGTTATCTTTAATGTCCTATTGTGTTTATTTTTTAATAGGTTATGGTTTCCTTGTTCTAATAGGAAAGTGTTTTCTTATCCTAATAGGTAAGAGGTTTGTTTGGTTCTTCTTCTTGATAGCTGTAGTTGCTATTTATATACTTTTGTATCAACTCCTTAAAATATAAGTAAGAATTATTTTCTTTTCCTATTAATTAACACTTTCCTAGTCCCAAACAGGTTGGGGTTTATTGCTCATTCAATCAACTTCTTGAATATGGATTCTATCATGCAGATCCCCATCCCGGGAATCTTCTTCGTACCTCTGATGGAAAACTGGCTTACTTAGGTATTATCATTAGCCTCATCATCTTACACAACTTTGGTGTGCTTGATTGTACATCTTAAGTATTTGCCCCATCGCTACTAGAAAATTGGTTTTTTAGTCTATTTAAGGTGTTTTCCAATTTTATGCTGGTGTAAATGATGTCTCTGCATCCTCCAAATTTCAGTCTTACTACACTTATCACTGGTGTTTTATTTTTTTTATTGTTTTATTTTTTTTCTTCAGCGTTGGCTGCTTAAATAATACCCAACTCTCTTTGTGTTGCCCTCTTACAAATAATATTTAACTCTGGAGGGCTCAAGTGGTGTGCCTTGTTGATGTGGGATGAGAATGCTGTTGAGTTTTAGTGACCTTAGTGGGAGCTTTCTCTATTCTTTTTTCTTTGGATTGCAAATGGAAAGCTTTTAGCTAATTTATGAAAAGTACAAAAGAAGGCAAGGCCCCAATAACCCGAGAGCTTAGAAGAAACTACTCTAATTGAGAGGCTATGCATTCTTATTGGAGTCTGAAGCGCATGTTCAACTTCAAATTATATTCATATTATCAAATGAGTAAAATCATATTGATCAAATATAAATAATTTTCAAATGGGAAGGACATAGTTGTATTGTGAAATTCCATATTACTTGGACCAAGAATAGTTTCATAATTAACTTTTTGTTCCAGACCTGAACCAGCTGCCAATGCCAAAATTTTTCTTATCATTTTCTCATGTTCGACTATATATATTTTTTACATGCATCATATCAAATAATGATAGACCATATATTTTGATGGGCTAATATTTATACTCCTACTTTACGAACAGATTTCGGTATGATGGGTGAATTTAAACAGGAGCTTCGTGATGGATTTATTGAAGCTTGTCTCCATCTTGTAAACCGTGATTTTGATGCATTAGCCAAGGATTTTGTCACACTGGGGTATAATGGTTTTTCCCTCTACTTGTTTCTTGTTATGCCATGTTTACTTACCAGGAATCGGAATGAGAATGAATCGGAATAAAAATCAATCAGAATGGGAATGCTATTCCTTTGATGTGATTTACCATAAATTTTCTGGAATTGGAATTAGAATTCCTTTGATGTTGTTTACTACGTCTAGAATCGGAATCGGAATCGGAATCAGATATATAAAAATTACTAGTATACCCCTTTCTTCTTTCTAGTTAATTATAAATACATTATTGTGCTAATTTTTTTTTTTAATTACAATTTTTTTTTGTTACTATATGATTTATAGTAAATATTTTTTATTATAACAATTTATCTAATATTAATAATAATGAATAATTAAAATAAAATTACACCAATTAAAATACTTTTTTTTACTAAAATTTAATAGAAAATATTATTAAATTTTATTATTCTAATATTCATTAAGAATAAATTATATTTTAAGAAAATCTATTAATATTATTTAATAATAACAAGGTAAAAAAAATATAAATTTATAATATTTTATAATAAAATCATACCAACCAATAAAAGTTGTATAAATTTTTATTATAAGAAAAAACATTAGTAGTAAAAATGAAAAAGAAATAGTTAATAAAATTATGAAATGAGAGAGAAGGATAAAAGTAGTAAATTAACTCTAATAAATGTGTGGGAGCGACGAAATAAGGAATGAGAATGAGATTGTTAGGGTGTAGGAGAGGGATGAGATTGTCCATTTTTAGGGAATGAGATTCCCCCACAATTTGATTTCATTCCTGCAACTTGGTAAACACCATCAAATCAAAGGGAATGGAAAAATTCATTCCCATTGTTTGATTCTCATTCCCAATCTCATTCCCTAGAAGTGAACATAGTAATTCTAATGCTACTGACTTTTTGGAAGGACATTTTTCTTATCTTTATAGGCTTCTTCCACCCACAGCAGATAAACAGGCGGTCACACAAGCATTAACAGGTTTTCTATTTTTCTCAAAAAATTTCATCGACTGTTAAACTGTTCTTCTAGGATTTAGGTTATGATGGATTAGGTGTTTCTCATCGGGTATTGTGGGTGCAGCTATCTTCCAAAATGCTGTTTCGAAAGGTGTCAGAAGTATTAGCTTTGGAGACCTTTTGGGAAACTTGGGAACGACAATGTAAGATTTTTCCGACACCATCCACATCAATATCTTTCTTCATTATTCTTTGGATTTTCAATCAGGGTGCAAAAATTTATTGAGAGTTGCACTTCCACCATTATTAGCTTGCTGTTGCCTTTTATTATTATTATTCACTCTCTTTGGGCGTTTGTTACATCGATGGGAAGGTATCTTGTAAAAAAAAAAAAAAAATAAGAATGACCTACTATATAGGTTTGAGAGAATAAAAATATTCTTCTATATCATACATGTAACTTAGGTCTTTTTATATAGGAGAATGACCTACTACAAATAAGGAAAGTAATAAATACCATAAAGACCAAATATTAACGACTAATATTGACAACTAATATTTACACAAAAATATTGATAAATCCAACCGAAGTCCATGCCCAATCTTATTTTAATATTACATCAATGCTTATTATTCTCCTAGTTTTTCTGTTTCTTTATTATTTTGTTAGATTTCTCTCTTTCAGGAGGTGGTCTCCTTGATTTTGGATGAAAACTCTTTGATTATTTATATTCTTTTCATACATCAATGAAAAGTTTGTTTGTTGTTATTAAAAAAAAAAAAATTACATCAATGCTTCATACATGCTGAGTTTATTCTTTGCTTTAGCAACTTTGTAAGTCAAGATATATGCTATAGTGTGAACATATTTTATTTATTACGTACAGATGGTGGAGACACATTTTCACTTGACATTCTTTTGGTAGTTATAGTGTTCCCTTTTTCTTTCTTTTTAATTTAAATGACATTTTTTTAAATTTCTCGCAGGTATAAGTTCAAATTTCGCATACCTTCATATTTTTCTCTCGTCATTCGGAGGTATCCTTACTTATTTTTGCGAGATATGTACCTCTGCATAGAAACCGTTAGTATTAGTATTATGTTACCTAAAATTTTAGGCTAAATATATCAAATGGTCCCTAATATTTTAGATTTTTCTTAATTTGATCCTAATAATTTGCAATGATTGAATGTACTCTTAATGTATTAAAACCGCTCAATTATATCCTTTTGAAGAAAAATATGTTAAAAATGGTGGATAGAAAGTTGATATGACACTAAATTTGTTTTGTCAACACATTTGAACAGATGACATGATATTTTTTTTATTTTATTTTCTTTTTTTTTTAAAAAAAACAAATTTTTGATTTAAACATGAAAATGAAGAAAAATGTTAAAGGATACAAACTCCTAAAGGGAGTGAAAAAGGAATATAGAGCCAAATAAAAAAGAAATCACCAAATAATACAAGAGAAACAAACATTGAAGAACAAAATACCTAATATCTTGACGGAACAATAAGTTAGAATTTGATACTTTGCGACCCGTTGATTTCAAAGGGACCACGGCTGCCCAATTAAGAACTCTTCATGCAAGGAATCATCAATAACTTCCGAATTAATGAGCCCTTCATGTATGAATATCCACAATAAATTTCTCAACTACTAACTCTTCAAGCAACAAATCTTTTAAATGCTCTTGAAAAAAGATTAAACTTTTTAGAGTCGCCTCAAAAACCAAACATAAGAAGCCCAAAAACGATTCAACGAAATATATTTTGTTGATGAACGGTCAAATTATTTGGTGATTTTAGGGGTGTTCACGGGTTGGGTTGGGTCGGGTTCAGGACATTTTTTGGACCAACCCGAAATTTCGAGTTGGACTGTTTCCCCACCCGATGGAACCGACTATACTAGCCAACCCAACCCTATATTTTTCAGGTTTGGTCAGGTCGGGTCATCGGGTTGCTCTACATTCTGTTCTTTCTTTTCAAAGGAGGGTTTGGATGATGGAACAGGCGGCAGATGACAGTAAACTTGAGGGAATGGCGGCAGACGAGAAGGAACGACTAAAACAACAGACAGTAGCAGACTGAAGGATGCGAACGACGGCGAATAGAGGCAAATAGATGTGAAGGGTCATGAACAGAGGCGAAGGGCCACGAACAGAGGCAAATGGCAGCAAAAATATGCCAACAGTGAACAGATGCGAACGATGGCAGCGAACATATGCAAACGGCTGTCAACAAACGCGAACAATAACCATGATTGAGAGATTGAGAGAGGTGGGATGATATTGTGAGATCTGGGATGAGATTGAAAGGAAGATTGAGAGAGATGGGATGAGATTAAGAGAGGGATTGAGAGATGGAGGCGAAGAGGCGGCTTGAGAGGGAGATTGAGAGATGAGAGGCAAAGAGGTGGCTAGCAAAACCCTAGAAAACCTAATATATGTATATATACGATTAAATTCGGTTCGGTTCGGGTTAAACTGATTTTTTTTTCTCCTAATCCGAGAACCGAACCGGCCGGTTCTTAAAATCTTGAACCCAACCCTTACAGTTTGGGTTGGGTTCTTTGAGTTACCGGGTTATTTGAACACCCCTAGGTGAGTTAGATTTCATGTGTCAAATAGCATCAACGTGGCTAAATATGTGAATAAAACAATAATTGAATAATACATCAACTTTTATTAACAAATTTTAATATTAAGACTAATTGAGAAATTTTTATACATCAGGGTAAAATTGAGAATATTAAAAGATTAAGAAGCAATGAGAATTGCCCAAACGATTGGGGACTGTATGGTATATTTAGACAAGATTTTATGTACAAAGTGATTAAAATACTTGTAAATCATTTTTCCTTCACTTAGATACAACAAATAAATTGGTTTGAATTCTTATTTCGTTGGTGGATTTAGCCTTGCAGTACTGGAGGGAATTGCTGTCAGCTTTAACCCAAATTACAAAGTTTTAGGCAGTACATATCCATGGATTGCTAGAAAAGTACTAACTGACAATTCGCCCAAGCTCAAGTCCTCCCTGTTATCCCTGCTTTATAAAGTGAAATATCCTTTTCTTTGTAAATAAAGCTCTTTTTATACCGTTCATTAAATTTTGGTCCTTTTTTTTTAACATGAAGTATTCAGCGAACTCATCTTTAAATCGATGTGTCTTCTTGATGATAGGAAGGTATTTTCAGGATCGATCGTTTGGAGTCTCTGGTTATAGAGGTAAGACGTTCGTTCCATTTCATTGTATCAATAGTTTCATTTGCATTAAAGAGCGATGCACCACCGTACTTTCAACACAAATATTTCGTTGATTAAGCTTCAATTGTTAAATTAGAGCTAATTCATTAAATTTTTCTAAATCTTAATGTTCTCATACTTCGATTTAAAAAGAATCTGACACATTATGCACATGATACATATTTCAAATTTTGAAAGGGTTATACAAGCTTTGGCAACCAAATGTAGTAAGGTCAGGCGGTTGTCCTGCGAGATTAATCTAGGTGCATGCAAGCTGGTTCAGACACTCACGGAAAGGAAAAAAAAAAACGGGCTATACAAGCCAACATGAAATCTTAAACTCAAGATCTCCTTTTGTGCTTTGTTAAGAGAATTAAACTATTAGGTGAGATTTAAATCTATTATATCTTTATTAATTGTCATAGAACCATTAGGCACATCTAAACAATCTTGGATTGGGAAGTTCCTATTTGGAAGGATGCAGCTTCTTGACCATCGCAGTTTCTACTCCTGCTAATAGTTTAGCACACTCTTTACTATGGGGTTTTGAAGCACATGGAGATTTTACTCGTTGGTGACAATTAGATGGTCTGTGTACTCTTGTTGCTCTCATGGTGCTTTCAGACTAATAGGTTTCATGTTACATCAATTTGAACGTGCTCGCATTCTCGAGTCCAATTGCTGTTTTTGTTTCTGGATTTGTAATTTGTCCGCTAGGTCAATCTGGTTCTTTTTCCAAAACGAAGGGGATTAAATAAGAACAAGAGGGATCCTATTAGTCTAAACAATTGCTGTTTTTGTTCCTGCTAATAGTTTAGCACACTCTTTGGTGTTACTATGGGGTTTTGAAGCACATGGAGATTTTACTCGTTGGTGACAATTAGATGGTCTGTGTACTCTTGTTGCTCTCATGGTGCTTTCAGACTAATAGGTTTCATGTTACATCAATTTGAACGTGCTCGCATTCTCGAGTCCAATTGCTGTTTTTGTTTCTGGATTTGTAATTTGTCCGCTAGGTCAATCTGGTTCTTTTTCCAAAACGAAGGGGATTAAATAAGAACAAGAGGGATCCACCGAAGAAGATACTTCTTGGTGTAATACCAATAGGAGAAAGGTTCATTAACTGGATAATAATCAACTAGAAAATAGAGATGGCTTTAAATAAGAAGCCAGATAACTAACTTAAATTAACTACCCAAAGATATTGTCCAACGGCTATATTAATAGAATAGTCTTATAAGCCACATCAAATTCCCCCCGCCAAAAAAGAACTCGTCCTCGAGTTTTACTTGGCTAGAACAAAATCATCTTTTGCTTTGTATTCGTATATGTCAGCTACATTGAAGACTGGATTAATCTTTAGGTTTGTAGGTAAGTTTATCTGATAGGCATTGTCACCAATATATATATATATTTTTTTAATGAGAAACTATGCTTTCATTGAGAAAAATGAAACAAGGAACAAGAAATCCAAAAAGGGCCTACAAAAAGACAGCCCAGAAGAAGGGACCCCCTAAGGAAAGGGCTCCAATCCAAAAGAATGAATCCTAACGTATAATTACAAAAGGCCTTGGAAACAGAGCCCCATAACGAAGCATTAAATCTAATGAGCTCCCAAACATAATCCAGATAAGGTATTGTCACCATATTGCTGGAGTATTTCAAAGGGGCCAATTTTTTTGTTAGGTAGCTTGTGATAAGATCCCTTAGGAAAACGGGATTTTTTGAGGTAGACCATAACAAGATCTCTGGGGCAAACTACTTGCCTCGTCTGTGAGCATCTGCTGCTGTTTTGTAGGATGTTGTAGCTTGTAGTAGATTCTGTGTCACTCCCTTGTGTAGCTTGATAATTCTTTCAGCCATATGTTCTGCTCCTTGGTTAAAATCCACAGTACATGGGAGATTAGTAAGATCTACCGTTAGTCTAGGAAGCCGAGTGTAAACAATGTCGAAGGGGGACTTTCCCGTGGATCGGTTCTTCATATGATTATAAGCAAACTCGGCTTGTGCAAGGGTAAGATCCCACTGTTTTGGCTTGTTTCCTCCTAAACACCTTATGAGGATCCTCAATGTTCTATTAGTGACCTCTGTTTTCCCATCTGTCTGTGGATGGCTAGTGGTGCTAAATTTCAAACCTATATCGAACTTTTTCCAGAAGGTTTTCCAAAAATGACTTAAAAATTTGACATCCCAATCTGACACTATGGTCCTTGGAATACCATGTAAATGTACAATTTCTCTAAAAAACAAGTTAGCTATGTAAATGGCATTCAAAGTTTTCTTACAAGGTAAAAAATGAGACATTTTACTAAAACGGTCTACAACAACTAAAACAGAATCATCGCCTCTTTGGTTATGGGGAGACCCAGTATAAAATCCATCAATAGGTCATCCCAAATATATTTAGGAATTGGTAAGGGAGAGTATAAATTTGTGTTCTGTGATTGCCCTTTAGCTGTTTGGCACATGAGACAACGGCTGACGAAGTTGTTTACGTCCCGGCATAGTTGAGGCCAAAAGAAACGTGGTTGTGACAAGGTCAAGAGTCTTATCACATCCTAAGTGTCCTGCCAAACTGCCACTGTGTAGGTCTTTAATCAAGGTTTCTCGAAGGGATGTATGGGGGATACACAAACGGTCCCCTTTGAAAAGAAACCTGTTGACAATGTGAAAATCCTTGAAATTGACATGTTGGTTATATTGTGTCCAGATGATCAAATGCTATTGCTTGTCGTGCAAGAAGAGTGAGAAGGCTAGCTAAAAACTAAGGATAGAGACACCAGTGAGACATACACGAGAAAAGAGAGAAGAAATAAATTCTCAAATTGATTGATCAAAAATGAGGAATAGAGGCACTGTTTATAGGTTACAAAAGGAAACAAAATCTAGGAATAATCTCCTAATTTCCCTAGCAAAAAAGGAGATTTATTTGCTAAATTTATACCCAAAATCTAAACAACTTTAAAACAACTTCTAACTAAGTCCACATAATCTTATGAAATCTTATGAAAGCCGATGCACCGGACTAGAGCTTGAAGGCGACCAATCTAACTTTTTTATCCTTCGGCGTGTTGGTGTAATAAAAAAAATTCTCGACATTCTTGACCCAGTCCAAGAATGCCTCCACTCCCATCTTCCCATTGAAGGTAGGAAGATCAATCTTCATCTTATAATCTGTGCACACACCTCCCCTGTTTGGAAAAGCAAACCTGTTAAAGCGTGGGTTCCCATGAAAAAGATCATCTTCCTCACCTAACGAATCTGAATCTTGGATTCTTAGTTGAATTTATTGATTTCTCCGACCACGTCCATTTGTGTTTCGGGCCATAACTTGAGACAACGATCGGTTTCTTGGTGGACGTATCCTTTTTTGTTCGAATTGACCACCGCGATTTCCCAAGTCTTCACGCAGTCGTTCTTGCTCGATCGCGATATTCTCTAGGTGCTTAGAAAGGTTTTCCATCAGACCGTGAATTGTTTGAATACTAGATCATACCTCGCCCAACGAATCCTCTACCAGTAGCAGGCGCTCGGTGCCTGACTTTGGAGATAGAGGTTGAGTTGTTGAAGGATCTGTCGTGGGTCCTTTGCTGGAAGTCACTGCATTCTTCCCAGCCATGAGGTCCTAATTCCGGATCGGACTCTGATACCAATTTGGTGTAATACCAATTGGAGAAAGGTCATTAACTGGATAATAATCAACTAGAAAACAGGGATGGCTTTATAGAAGCCAGATAACTAACTTAAACTAACTACCCAAAGATATTGCCCAACGGATATATAGCTAACGGCTATATTAACAGAATAGTCTTATAAGCTACATCATTTCTTCCCTTTTTCGGACGAATAAGAGGATACAGATATCCCGCTTCTCCAAAGAATGATTGACAGTTTACTCTAGGAAAATATATAAAATAAAAATAGTGAAAATTTATTAAAATATAGGAAACTTATAGCGAAAGCATTAATTTGCTACAGGCCTAGTCATACTAGAATATTTATTGGTGCTGGCTATAGATAAGCCATGCTGCTCTTAGGATTTTTTTACGTTAGACAGCATTCTGAGTGAAAAAAGTTATGGAATCAGTGGACTCTCGTATTAAAGGCCAAAAGGTATGGTTTGTGGATTTGTGGTGGTTAACATCGTGACCACAAAAAAGCCAAATATGGTGGTTAACATCGTGTCAGGTAGATTTTTGGGGATTTGGATGAGCCTTATTGACTTGCATCATTGCTTCTGCTTTTTGTTTTTTTATACATTATACATAATTGTGGCTGCATTACTTGTTACAATCTCAACAGGACTATTTTGTAAAGGAAAAAGCGAAAAATAATAATAATAATAATTAGCATTTCGTTGCATTCTGTCTTCAAGCCTTCATCCTAATTTTTTTACAATGATGATGTTCTTATGGCAGTCGCTTCGTGCTAGAACAGAGAAGTCCTCGGTCAGAAAAGATGTAGAGGACCAGGGTAATAGGATAGTTGTCAAGGAAGTTCTTTCCTTTGCACTGTCTGAGAAAGTATGAACTAGTTTTTTGTCTTCCTTTTGAATAATATATCCAAAGTATCGTTTATGATGAGTCACTTTAAGTTTCGTTTTGTTTTTGTTTTCTTTTAAAAATAAAACATATTTTTGCAGGGCTCCTTTCTGAGAGATTTACTTCTCCAAGAAATAGCTAAGGTAAATTTTTGGTATATAAACTTGCTATCTCTCCTTAGTCCTACGAGTAATTTTAAGAAAATTTTTGGCCGGATATAAGATGTAAACATGATTTGAACCGGACAAATAGATTATGGTAAAAACTGATGCCATTTGGTAACTCTATAATGTTCTCGCGTGTCTCTAGTCTTCTGCCGTTGATAAATTGATTAAGGAAATTCTATGACTCTTAGTATATTCATCCTTTCAAGTCACAAAAACTGCCAATGACTAAGTATGGTGTGTTGGATTTTAAAGTGCGAAAGAAAGTGAAATTTAAAGAAATTTATTCACATATACGTTGTGAATATTTCTTTTATTGGTTTTGTTAAATTTTGTATTAAAGTTACACAGTTGTAACTTCTTTATGTGTTGAAGTTACTTGTGTGTTAAAAACTGATGTATTCGGTAGTTACTATTAAAGCTTCTGTTATTAGCTTTTATTTTAAAACCTATGTGTTTTAATTGTAGTTTTAATCCACGGTAACTTGGTTTACGTTTGTTAGTTGTAAAGCTTAGAATCCTATAAATAGGATTCAACTCTTTCAATAAGATTCATTCTTTCATTCTTAAAACAAACACTCTAGAGCTACATCAATTTTGGTATCAGAGCACCCAAAATTCTGGGAACTCAATGGCGGGCAAGAAACCAACCACGGCGGAATCTTCCCTAGCCAGTAAAGAAACGGATCAGGCGACCGTTCTCTCACCACGATCGGCAACCGTACGCTTGCAGTCGGTTGAAGGGGATATGAAGATAGTCCAGCAGGAAGTGGGTGAGATTAAACAGATATTGGAAGTAATTCATGGCCAGCTGGAAAGGCTGAGTGTTCAACAAAACTCAGCAAGAACAGGCCAAGAAATGCGAAGGACGGACCATCAGGGCATTTACTATCAAGAACAACAAGGGGCGCAGCCAAGAAGACATCAAGAAAATGTTCTTGAACCAAGAATGCTCTAAGAACAACGAACCATCCGACAAGATTTAAATCAAAATCCCCTGTTTCAGCATAGGAATGATTTCTTCGTTGACTCTTCCAGTGGTGAAGATGATATGTCGGGGTTGGAAGAAGATCCTAGGGGACGACGGGGTCATCAAAGACAGTACCAAGAGACAAATGAGTATAAAATGAAGATTGATCTTCCAACTTTCAGCGGTAAGATGGAGAACGAGGGGTTTCTTGATTGGGTGAAGAATGTAGAAAACTTTTTTAGTTACATGGGTACACCTGAACATAAAAAGGTTCAATGAGTAGCATTTAAGCTGAAGGGAGGCGCCTCTGCTTGGTGGGATCAGTTGGAAGTCAATCGGCGTCGTTATGGGAAAAGACCCATCCGTACATGGGAAAAGATGAAGAAACTGATGCGTGAACGATTTCTGCCTATAAACTACGAACAGATCCTATACAATCAGTACCAAAACTGTAAACAAGGTACACGCTCGATTGTCGATTATGCTGAAGAATTTCACAGGTTAGACGCTCGGACAAATCTTGGAGAAAGTCAGCAATATTTAGTGGCTCGTTTCATTGGAGGATTAAGGACAGAGATAAAAGAACAGTTGGCCCTCCAACCCATTGGCTTCCTCAATGAGGCTATTTCCACAGCCACAACAACTGAAGAACAACTCAATAATAGATACAAGAAGCAATATACAAGACGCGGTACGTGGGATCAAACAGGGGGATCGTCCAAAAAGCCTTTCTCTACGATAGAACAGAGTGCTGCGCAAGCTCCTACAACCACGGGGACTAAAGGTAAGTTGCTGGATTCTGAGGCGAAAAAAGGAGGTAAGAGTACTGATAACACCTTAAGTAAACGACCGGTTGGCACATACAACCGCCCAACTCTAGGGAAATGCTTTAGGAGTGGTCAGGTAGGCCATCTCTCAAACGAATGTCCCCAACGGAAGGCTATTGCCTTCTTAGAATATGAAGATATAAGAAACGATAGTGAGGAAGAGGACATGAATGGAACTGATGAGGTAGATTACACCGGCCCGGATGAGGGAGGTTTGGTTTCGTGCGTAGTCTAGCGCCTTCTTCTAACACCTAAAACAGAGACGGCTTACCAATGCCATGCTCTGTTCAAAACACGCTGCACTGTCAATGGCAAAATCTGCAATGTCATTGTTGACAGTGGTAGCACTGAAAACATTGTGTCTAGCAAGCTTATTTTCGCCCTCAATCTTTCTTTAACACCCCACCCGGCTCCATATAAGGTCACCTGGATAAAAAAGGGGGGGAAGCCCAAGTCACCCACACTTTTACTATTCCTCTATCTATTGGAGCAAGTTATAAAGATCAAATTGTGTGTGATGTGCTCGAGATGGATGTATGCCATATTTTGTTAGGGAGACCTTGGCAATACGATACTCAAGCATTGCACAAAGGCAGGGATAATAAGTTTATGTGGATGGGTAAGAAAGTGGTCTTACTACCCCTTACTCCATCAAAATTACTAGCTCCTACCGATACTAACAAGTCCAAAGGACAATTATTCACGATCCATTCGGTAAAGGAGATACTGCCTACTAAAGACATGCCTATTCTTGGGTTGGTTATAAAATCTTTTGATACAGAGGATTTAGCCAACCCCATTCTCCCTGAAGTACGCAGATTGCTTGATGAATTTAAAACCATTGTGGATACACCTACGGGTTTACCACCCCTTTGAGACATACAACATAACATAGATTTTCTGTCGGGTGCTACACTTCCTAACTTGGCTCATTACAGAATGAGCCCATCGGAATACAAGATCCTCCACGATCAAATTCAAGATTTATTGGATAAAGGTCACATTCAACCAAGCCTTAGCCCATGTGCGGTTCCTGCACTCCTTACTCCTAAAAAAGATGGCACATGGCGAATGTGTGTGGATAGCAGGGCCATTAATAAAATTACAATCAGGTACCGTTTTCCCATTCCTAGAATTAGTGACTTATTGGATCAACTAGGGGGAGCTTCAATTTTCTCAAAGGTCAACCTTCGGAGTGGCTACCATCAAATCCGCATCCGCTCGGGAGATGAGTGGAAAACGGCGTTTAAGACCAACGAAGGCTTGTTTGAATGGCTCGTCATGCCTTTTGGCCTATCTAACGCGCCTAGCACTTTCATGCGACTCATGAATCAGGTACTACAACCCTTTCTTAATAAATTCGTGGTGGTCTATTTCTATGATATCCTTATCTATAGCCAAAACATGCATGACCATTTAGGACACCTCCGATTATTATTTTCAGCTCTAGCTACCAATACTTTAGTTATCAATCACAAAAAATGCGTATTTGCAGTACCTGAAATATGATTTCTAGGGTTTATTATAGGACACAACGAGATTAAAATGGATCCTCTAAAAGTGTCTACTATCGCTAGTTGGCCGGAACCCAAAACTATTAAGGATGTGCAATGTTTCTTAGGGCTTGCTTCTTTCTATAGAAAATTCATCCAAAACTTTAGCTCCATTGTTGCACCTCTCACAAATTGTCTCAAGAAAGGTCAATTCACGTGGGGAATAACCCAAACCGACAGCTTTAACCTCATTAAACACAAACTAAGTACTAGTCCTGTTCTCACTTTACCAGATTTTAACCAACCATTTGAAGTAGCAGTAGATGCTTCAGGAATAGGGATTGGAGCTGTTCTTTCCCAACACAACCATCCCATAGAATATTTTAGTGAAAAACTAAGCCCGTTTAGACAAAAATGGAGTACATACGAGCAAGAACTTTACTCCTTAGTTAGGGCATTGAAACAATGGGAACATTATCTTTTGAACAACGAATTTGTCCTATTCACAGATCATTTCTCCATTAAATTCCTGCACACACAAAAATCTATTAGTCGCATGCATGCTCGTTGGCTTTCCTTTCTTCAACGTTTCGAATTTGTTATCAAACATAAATCTGGAATTACTAACAAAACTGCAGATGCCTTGAGCAGAAAGGGAAATTTACTAACTATTCTAGAGGGAGAAATCATTGCTTTTGAACATCTCCCTGATTCTTACGAAGGAGACTCAGATTTCGGTCCCATCTGGACCCAATGCCAAACACATACCGCAGCCGCTGACTATCATTTCTTGGATGGCTTCTTATTTAAGCGCAACGCCCTTTGCATACCCCATACATCTCTTCGAGAGGCTCTTATTAAAAATGCTCATTCGGGGGGCTTAGCTGGCCATTTGGGACGAGACAAAACCTTTGAGGTCCTATCTGTTAGATTTTTTTGGCCACAGCTCCGCAAGGATGTAGCCAATTACATTGGACGATGTTTCCTATGTCAAACATACAAAGGGACTACCCAAAACACGGGTTTATACACTCCTCTGCCCATACCCGACAACATATGGGAAGAACTCTCGATGGACTTTATACTCGGTCTCCCTCGGACTCAAAGGGGTTTCGACTCCGTAATGGTCGTGGTGGACCGATTTAGTAAAATGACACATTTCTTGGCATGTAAAAAGATTTCGGATGCCATTTATATTGCTACTTTATTCTTTAGAGAAGTAGTGCGCCTCCACGGCATTCCGAAATCCATAGTGTCTGATAGAGATGTGAAGTTCTTAAGCCATTTCTGGCGGACGTTAGGGAAAAAGTTCGATACTAGTTTAAAACTCAGCACAACTAGTCATCCACAAACAGATGGCCAGACCGAAGTTACAAATCGATCTCTCGGCAATCTCATACGATGTCTTAGTGGGGATCATCCTAAACAGTGGGATTTAACACTAGCACAAGCCGAGTTCGCCTACAACAATATGAAGAATAGAACAACAGGGAAGTCTTCATTTGAGATTGTGTACACTAAAATCCCTCGCTTAACATTTGATCTAACTACTCTTCCTTCATCTGTTGATCTTAGTTTAGAAGCAGAGGAAATGGCTACCAGATTTTCCGAACTACACCAGGAAGTACGTGACCACATTGTCAAGTCAAATGAGCAGTACAAAGTAACGGTTGACAAAAAACGAAGGTT